TTTAAAAAATTAAACACTTAACCAACAGTCAAGGCAGTCAACTGACAGAACTAACCCTAAAGTCTAATAAGTGAATTAAGTTGGACCAAGGTCTAAATAGACCATTATCTAAAAACCCCCTAAATGTACAAAAAATGAATTTGGATATGTCATATTGCACAAGTAACAATGTCGAATACAACATTTCGTTTGAATTCTGAAACAACTTTGAGGTTGAGGATATATCAAGCATAAAGTTGTTTCCTGTTCACAAACCGCAGATCTTCGAGACCACATACTAAGAGGTTGTGAGACTCCACCAATGAGATTTTTTATGAGCCTTTGTTAGTTTACATTTTTTTTATGCCTGATTTTGATCTTAGCCATCTTTCTCCAATTACTACCGTCCCCTTCAGACCCCCAGCATGTCATGGCGGAAACATACTATAGTATGATTAGCCTTGGTCTTGAGAGGGAATTCGAGTTGTCAGATAGACAAAAGACAATGATTTAATGTGTGCAGTCGGAACATGCCAAAGACTTTATCCTCGCTATTCCTATGGAAGGGAACATGCCAAAGTTTTTCTTCTCGCTATTCCTATGGAAGAGCATGGACAAAAGATGAACCCCCGTCGAATACCGTGTCATTCTTCGATATCGGATGATGATCCCACTTTATAAGGATGGTGAACTCTGTTCGGTTTGTAAGAAGACCTACTTGATGCTTTCGGTGACCATGCAGCTCACTGCAAGCATTATTCTGACTTCAAATACATACATGATCATGTTAGAGATATCTTTATGTGATGTGTTCTGGTGGGCATGAGTGCATGTAAAGAAGGAAGCCCCCGTTAATTTCCTTACAAATCCTAATGAAGGGAGATCAACACTATGTCTTGCAGATATTATGGTCTACAACTGGTCTGAGGGTAGACATGCATATGTTGATGTCACAGGAGCATCTCCGATGGTCGGGCTGGGTACTGAGATATTTGAGGTGGTCCAAATAGTTGGCAATGCTGCAAAATCGAAAGTGGGGAAACACGATATAACATGTAGAACTAACCAACATGCTTTTATCCTGTTTTCTTTTGACACTTTTAGATCATTAGCCTCCGAGGCAATTGAGCTGCTTAATTTGGAGGGTGCTGAAGATAATTAATATCAACGTTATAACAGCGAGTTCTAACGAATATGTTTTTAGAAGGATAAATTTTGCTATTCAGAAAGGATTTGCAGCACAGTTTGTCCGACACTTTTGTGTAATTTTTTTGAGTTTATCAATAAAATTTATTTTCTCTCCAAAAAAGAATCACATAGGGTTTGGAGTAAGATTTAATCTTATGAACGTATCCTTCCATTAAGACATCTCCAATGGTTGGACGGGCTAAATGTATTTTTACATTCGGTTTACACTTTTTACTCCTTAAATTGTTCCTTCTATTTTAACATAATAAATTTTTTTTTTTGGGTACTACTAGATCAACGGTTAAATTTACGGTTGATATAACCGAATGAGAAAATTTCAATATGTGAGGTATTGAAATCCACTTGCGGCCCAAGCATAAATTAGGTCCAAACTAACAACCCAACTGTTTATGGACCACATTCGATAAAGCTGCTACATTTCACTAGAGATCTGATCCCAAGTATACACAATAATATAGCAGAATAGCAGATACCGTTAGAGTTAGTTTAGATTATATTTACAAGGGCTTCTCTAGAATAGGGCTAGAACTTATAAAAATTGAGGTGGAACTTGTATTTTAGCCCAACCATTGGAATGCCCTTAGGCCCAAATTTGGTAAAAGCGTACGTACAATGGAATGGAAAATGGTAAAGCCTTAGAGTCACATGGCCCACCATCCACCTGGTTACAGTAGTCCAGTTGCATGTTATGGTGGAGTCCGAATTTGTTGCACATTATGGGGAGAGAAAAACCTAATTTGAATTTAGTAAATCCTAATGAGACCTATATAAAATTTGGACCAATCGGTGTTTGCTTACACCCTCTCTCCGAAAGTGCAACAAATTTGATTTCGTTATGGTGGGCCACTTTCGATTAGTGTGAGACCAAGGTTCGGAGTTTGGAGCGAAAATGGTAGTTGGTGGGACCAACAAGTCAACAAAAAAAATCAAACCCACGACATATTTGAGACCGCGTTCCATCTGATATATAGCGGAACACGAGTAGTGAATGTAGCAACTTGCATTACATAAACTTCAAACGTTAAACACCACGAAAACGGTATATCGCTTTGCCACGTCAGTTTCCCGTTACGTGCCCATTGTTTTCGGTATTTTTTTTTATTTGATTTTTAAGTACTTTGCTTAAGTGTTAAGTCCTTTTATTTTTTAATTAAAAGGAAAATTTGAATTAATTAATGGAAAGAGAATCTCCAAACAGTGAAAGCAGAAGAAGAACACAGATGACAAGAGAGAGAAAAGAAGAATAACAAAGATAAAAAAAGAATTTTGGGGAATCGAAGTGGTTTTGATTAGATTAGACTAAGTTTTTTCTCTTTAATTCAACAAATCTCTGTTCTTTCTTTCTTTCTTATTTACTAGTTTAAAGAGAAGTTTATTTGGGTATTGGTGGAAAATCAGATTTAGAGAACAATGTTCACTGAAGGGCTTGATAGGAATGCTGTCAAGTGGGCAAGAGAGGTAATCTTTATGTTTTATTTTGTATTTTTGGTTTATTAGAGCAATTGAGTTGGTTTCTTGTTGATTTTTTAAAAGTGGGTTTTTGATGTTTAGTTATGGTTTTTGATTTTATTGGATTTAGGGGTCTAGTGCTAAGCAGAGGGAAATGCAGATTCCAATTTCAAATCATGGGATAGATCAGATTAGACTTAGTCGAAATGGAAGTTGGGGTTTTGGATTACCACCTGCGTCGAAGTTTAGAAGTGGACATTTGCCATCTGGAGTGATGCCTGTGTCGAGGGCGATACCGATTAATGGTGTTGATAGTGAATTTGGGTCAGATATGGATACTTCAGATTCGGATGATGAAGTTTATGGTGGAAGGTATTCGCTTGAATCGTCGCCTCAAGATCATTTAGATCATCAGACTCGCAATGGTTCTGCTCAAAGATACACAGTGTCTATGTCTAAGAAACCACATTATACTGATGATGGGATATACTCAGATTTTAGTTCAACTGGGAAGCAACAAGAAAGTGTATCTGAAAGACCAGGGCGGCCAGGTCATGATCGTACTGAGGAGGATTATTCGTCAGATTCCGCTGTAAGTTCTGGATACGCCTCGACCCAAGTAGGAAGCAACAATGTTTCTGTTCCTTACAGAGGAGCTTATGCTTCAGATGGTTACTCATCTGGTGTACCTTCACGCCCGAATGTTGTAGTTTCTGATAGAAAGGTTTATTTCTCCTCTATATGTATCTTTTTATTTTATGAAGAATTCTGAAGTCTAGCTTTGCATTTACTTGTTAATTAAACCATAGCTGCCTAGGAATGTTGGTGATATTATGTTATGTCATAGTCATATGGATGATATTTTGTTCAACATTACTCACTTCTTTTAGCGCACTAGTC